TTTTTGTTTTTTAACTTTTCTTTTGTAAAATGCATTGAGGACAAAAAGCCCCCTTGCTTTCTGTATTCGGTGTGGTAACCTTGTGCGCTTCCTGCAGTTGGCAATTTAGCTAAATCTTCCATTCTTTTCCCTGCTCATTCCATCTGGAGAAGCTGATATCTTGAGTCACAGAGTCACAGCCATCAAAGTTACCTGATAGGCTCTTTGAGATATTTCACAATTGTGAGTTATCTCCATTTCAGCCTTACCAGATAAAATTCATCCTTTTGCTTTGAGACTGGGAGTGGGCAGTTGCAGAATGCCAGCGTCTCCCTTGATTCCCACTTCAGTGCTGCAGTAGTGACTGGAGTTTCTGCTGATGTTTTGCTCAGTTCCTTTGCTCTGCTTGTCTTGTGCACAGGATGATAGTGGAGTTGCATCGGAAGGTCTCCAGCCTCATYGAGTTCCTGAAGCAGAAGTGGGCCCTCCACGAAGTGCGCATCGTATCCTTTTCCTGCTGAAACTGTGCTGYGTGCTGTGCCCCAGCAGCAATTTGGTGACAAAAATGTAGATCTACCTAGTGTATTTGCCAGCCCATGTTTAATAAAGATTACGATCAGTATCTCAGCATCACTGACGTGAGGGAGCCCTTAGCAGGAAACGCCAAGCATTTCACTTCCCACTGAACTCTTCTCTGCTCTGATGCCCTGAAGAGCTAGTTGGTAATAAAGAAGCTCCCTGCCTTTATTTCATTTCTGTAAACAYGAGCTGAATGGATTAATTTCCTATCTCTGAACTTTGACCCATGCAGTAGAAGGGTTTGTGAGGAAACAGCCATTATGTTCTCCTGTGAACTAATGTGCTGCGTCCTGTTCTCRGTCCCTTTATTCAAGCTTGTGGGCTTTTCTTTTTAATTTGTGTGCCTGGACAAAGTGGCAGTGTAGCATTTGATACTTAAATGTCAGAACACATACAGAAAGTAGAGTCTATTTTGCTATGCAAAAAAAAAATATAGTTTCAAAATCACAGTGGGGCTTGAAGCAGAGATCAATAATTTTGCATGGAACAGAGATYGAGCATTGCTGCAAATCTTAAGTGTAGCCCATATCAACATAGAAAGATTTAATTTCCAAAGATCAGAGTGTTCGTATCTATGCTGAGAATATACCCCTGGTCAGCTATATGTTCTTTTTATTTGCAAACTAGGCTACCAGGTGCTGCTKTTGACGGGACAGATGGTGGTTGCATTCTTTGACGCATCCGTTTTAGCGTAAAACACTAGAGGAACGGCAGCTTCAAGACCCCAGAGACTCGGAAACAAGAGGCGGCTTCTCGGAGGAGAAGGTGATGCTCCATCTTTTTCCAGGAGAGAACTGCACCCTCACGCCGCTGCCTGGGGTGGCCAGAGTGGTCCACTCCAAGGCTTTCTGCACAGTGCACTGGCAGGAGACTGGCAAATGCAAACAGAACACAAAGGACTCTCACTTACTACCCCCTGCACAAATCCTAGGCATACAGAGTGGTCAGGGGACAGCCAGGGGACAGCTAAAATACATCCGGGGAACGGAAGGTGGCAAGAGTGTTGGAAGAGCAGAGAGCACTACAGAATCGAGCAGAACCTCTCAGCCCACAGCTGAAGTTTCTGCAAGCGCTGAAGAGGGTTCCCCAGAGACTGCTCTAGTGGAAGGGGCAGCCTCACATCTTGGCATCACTAATCCCCTCAGCAAGCCCCCTCCTGGACTTCAGGATCCAGAAGGGAGCCATGAAAAGCTGAGCTCGATGACCTTCTGTGTGGAGGGCAGGGAGGCCCTGGCTGGTGACCAAGCAGCCGGGCTACCATCGTGCAGCACAGCCTGTGCTTGCAGGAAGATCCCTGATGTGGAGGAGCTCTCTCTGCTTGATCCCTTCCCACGGTACATGAAGTCCTGTCAGGACCTGATTGTCCCGGAGAAATGTTTTTGCACAGAGAAAATGCATGGAAGAGACTTTACTCCTACAGCTGGGAATACTTCTCCTGTGGCCTTTCCAAGTGGGAGCACAGAGACGCCCGACGCATGTTTGGCGCAGCTGCCCAGAGGCCACGTGGCCTCACCCAGCAGTGGCCCCTCCAGGCCTGAAGCTCAGGCTAGCCATGGCCCCAGCCTGCAGCTTGACACGTGCACCAGGGAGATAACAGACGTGGTAATGGAGGATTCTCAAGAGAAGCTGAGCTCCTCGTTTCCACCTCCACCTCAGGGACAATCTAGTTCAAAGTCTCTCAAGGATGACCCGAGCAGGCTCTCTCAGCAGGTTAGAGAAGAAGGATGGAGCCTGCGAACTTCGGAGAGCCTCACGTTGGCAGAAGTCTACCTCATGATGGGCAAGCCRAACAAGCTGCAGCTGGAGTACGACTGGCTGGCTGTCCTGGAGCCAGAATCCCAGGAGGCCAGGGAGCAAACGTCCGAACCAAGTGCTGTTCCTACGGGCACCACCTTCCACAAACAGAGACTCCTCAACTGCCTTTTAAAGCTCATCTCAACTGAAGTCAATCCCAAACCAGTAAGTAGCTCTCATTTGTGCTCCAGAAGCTAAGCTCTTGGTAATAGGGCTCACGGAATGGCTGCCCTTCCTTGTTTTTGTAGTAAATTAGTGACCAACTTTGTTAAGATCTTGGAGTCACTGATGAAAAAAACATTACGAAGCAGCTTGCTGCTGAGTGGACGTTTCTTTAATATGCTGCATCTGTTTCTTGGGGGTTTTTCTCCTGCTGCTTTTTGTTTTCCGGTTTGCCCTGGGTCTCATTTTCAGCAGTGTTACAGTAAACATTTAGTGTGACTGCTGAAAAGACGAGATGTGAGATTAGATGCTTTCTATTCTGTCTAAGAGTAATGTCCAGAGTTCATGTAATTCAAGTAGCATTCCGTATAGGTGTGAAAAGAGCTGATCTATTTCAGGTATCCTGGCCAACGTACTTTGGTCTACTGCTGTGATTTTTGTAAAAGTGGCAATATAAGTTTCAGGTTTTATTTCCAAGACTCTAGATACATGTGTTTAACAGCCCAGAAAAATACGTCCTTCCCAGGGCAGACAACTGGGGTAAATTAAACTTGCTGAAACGTCCTTTCAGGACATCCTCTCCAAAAGAGACCGAATTCAGCAGATCAGACCGGATTGGGAAGATGGTGATGYGAGAAGTTCAAGATACTCCAGTGTAGAGGGCAAATGAATCACTGTTCCCAAACACCTGGGATACTCTGCTCTTTGCTTTTGGTAGGGTAGTATCCTGTCCCCATTTCCCCCATCCCTAAAGCTCTTGTGGATCCTGATTTTATAAATATAGGATGTAGGATATTTTTAAATATCACATATAAATTTAAAACTACCTTCTGTGAGACACAGCTCCAGTCTGATAAAGACTTGAAGTTCACCAGACTTGTGGTCTTGTGTCTCACTGGTATGTGATGAAGTCTTCCCCGTTTGGCAGCTGGTTTTACCCCTAGTGTGACAGCTAGAGAAAATAGGATTGAACTACGGTGGACTAGAAATAGGAGAGTATCTTTAAATTTAGGGGAAGAAGAAGGGGGGGGGGGGAGGTATTATCTGAGGCAATTGTTACTTGCTAGTTATGCTATTTGTGTCTTAATCAAAGTAGGGAAATTCTCCTGAAAAATAATGCAGTTCTTCCAGGTAGGTACCAGTGTTCTAATAAAAAAGAGGAATCTTTTTCTTTGTTTGTAAAGTACTAGTTTATATAGACTTCATTGCAGAAAAATAAACTGAAAGAGTTAAAAAAAACAAAAACGAAACAACAAAACAACAAAAAAAAMCACAAATAAGGTCACTTGTGGTAGTGACTGTCGTGGGACTTCTATGTGTATATTCAGGTGACAGCGATATTTATTGCCTGCCTGGAAGTAGACTTTTGGAAAGGATTGGCTCTTAAATCTTGTGCATTTCATCAGAAATCACAGTAGGAAGGCAATAGTTTTGCCACTGGGTCCCTCCGCTCTCCTGGAGCGTGGACATGTGCAGCCGAGACCTGCAGTCGCTGCCTTTAGGACGCTGCTTCTGGGCCACGGCGCTCGGAGTTGCCGGGCTGCGTCCACGCTCCGGGACCACTTCTCCCACCGGAAAGTGAAAAGCTGCTTCAGCATAAGGAGAAGTTGTTTGGATGCCTGCTGCCTCCTCCAGAAGATCTGCAGTGAAGCCACCTGTGCTGTATTTCTTGCCTTCAAATGAAGATTACCAGCATCAAGCAAACTACAGAGAATTGCACTGCAGACAAGTGTGGGTTGAAATTTTATGCCTGTGGTTGCACCCCWCTTTCTTTAAAGGCAACTTTTGCTAGAAAACCTTGTAAGTAGCTTAATGGAATTAACTGGCTAGGCCTGGAAAAATTAGTAAAGCCTCTTGCCATGTGGTTTTGTTTTGTTCACAGTGATTCAGTGTAAAATAGGAGGAGGATTGGGAAAAAATTCAGAACTTTTTATCTTTACTTGATTAACAACAAAATATTTTTGGATACTGCCARTCAGAAGAGCCATCTGGATAGTCAGAGTTTATGAAAATTAGTTTTCCATTGAATTTGAAAACAACCCCTTTTTGGTACTATGGCAAATCCTTGTCTTCCCCTCTAATATTTCTGGGGAGTGAGAGGATGTTTTGCCTTTTTGTTTTGTGAGTGCTTTGTCACACTGTAAACGTTGATCTGATTGCTTAAATAGCATCAATTTATATTACAACGATATTTAACATTACCAAAAACACTGAGAAAGAATTTTAACACCACTCACACACATAGAGGCAGTGGTTAAAGTACTGAAAGAYATTGAAGTTAAGATTTTTATTTTTTTAAAGAAAACTCCTTAAGCAGCCGTGGGTGTAGCAGTGCAGTTACTGTCCCAATAAAGCCCTGTGTTCAGCTGCTGTACCTGCATTTTCAGACGCCTGAAATGAGCTCCGTTGCCACGTCGCCGATGAAGCCCGCGCAGGAGGAGCAGGCCCTGACGCCCCCCGGGAAGGTGGTTGCCGTCAGCAGCAGGAGCCCGGGCTGCGCGCGGAACCAGTCTGCCCTTCGTGGCAACAAGACCTTTTCCCCCAGTGCCGCTTCCAGCTCCTCAGGTGAGTGGCCATCAGGACTCACTTCAACACACGAGATCTTTAGCGCACCAGAGCAGTGTCTGGGAAGCTCTGCCCACTTATATGCCCGTATGTTTTCGTCCGTAATTCCAGGAGAAAGAGAGCTCCTAAATATTATCTTGTTAGTTTGGATTAGGATTGTCATAAATTCAGTATTTCTGTAAATCTTAAAAAAAATATATATAAAGCTACATCAATAATGCAGTTCACAGTACAGAAAATGTCCTATCAAGGCAGTCTTGCAGAGACGCTGGCTCTTGTTAGGAAATGGCTGCTACAGGGCATGGGGCCTCAAGAGCCTGGAGGCCTATAGGTTTGGAATATAAATATATTGACTAAAGTTTGCTGGTTAAAATAGTATTTTACTGAAAATTTTACCTGCCGTTCTGCTGAGATGAAATCCTGAATGATTGTTATGGATTACCTTCTTTTTCTACTAAAAGGTCCATCTGAAGTACTGATTTGTGAGCTGCAGCCCTGCAGACCAAGGGTTTCAGTTCTGACTTCAAAAAGAAACAGGGCAAGTGCCAGAGGCGCGGAGTTACAGGTGCCGTTCACAGGCCTCCCTTTTTGCCCCTATGCTGTAAGGAGCAATGGACTGAGAGCCATTTAACCAGTGCTGTGAAACCCCCTAGTTGGTGCTCTGTATGGTTTCCATTTTAAAGTGGTGTGATAGCAGTGTCGTCTCTGTGTAAAGCTTCATTACACTGACTTGCAGACAAGTACACACTTGCTTAAATTGCTAGTAAGGAGCCCGATAATTTAAGAGGTGAAATGTAGGAATCATTACTTTTCTGAGAGATACGCAGGCCAGGAGGGCATATCTTCTTAAATGAGATTCAGAAATAAAATCAAACTTCACTTGCAGCTTGTTCATTTTATGAGATTGTACTTTATACTTCCCCTAATGCCTTGAAAATAATTTCTGAAGTATTTTAAGTAAGGATAAGAATCATCAACTGAGAATACCAGATGACAGAATGACAGAACCAGCAAGAAGACAAAAAGACTTTCTACCTGCTCCCCTGGAAGCAGGCATGGCACTTCGGTTGGTGCAGACCTGTGTTGATTCAAAAACAAACTGAGCTGCCCATATTAGTTTTTAAAAGATGCGTTATTATTATTAAGATTGTATAATTTAATGAAACATGCAGTGTTAAATCAGAGAGTGAAAAATCTGGAGTACTTTGTGCGGTACCAGTCAAGGACAACCAAGTTGGCTGCAGCTGAGCTGTGTGGCTTGAACAGGAGAGCAATAAAGGGGGGTTTAAAACAACGCTCTGCCTAGCGTGTTGGTTTTGCCCCTCAGCAGCTCTGCCTGGGGTGCCTTTACTTCTGCCTTTGCTATACAGTAATTTTAAAGCTTCTTTGTACCCTCACATATGACACTATTAAATAGCTACAGTAGTTCGGCTATCAGAAAGCAAACTTTGAGGTCGCTTTTAGGTGGATTTCCTCATAGAATTTGGTCTTGAGTCTGTCTAGCTGCCAACTACTTTGGGTTTGGGGTTGGGTCTGTTTAATGAAAATTARTTGATTTGGCCTTCCTAGTAGAAAATAATGATTAGAAGATCTAACTGGAAGTTCTGTTCATTCCGGAGTGATGGAAAGACTTGGCAAACTGGCAGCTTCACGAACAGAAAAGGAGATGAGAAGAATCATGCAAACAGGCTTAGCAAAGAGCAGGGCAATAGCTGTGACGCAAAATCACCATAACACTTAAACTATGATAATCTTAGTTACATCTAACTGCATGTCCTTACTCTCTGCAGTGTAATTTGTTCTTTTCATGTTCACTTGTTTGCTGTAGCAGTTCTCCTTATCTCCTGCTCAGGGATGAGGCCCTAATACTTTTGCTTTTTAAACATTTCAGTTTAAAAACGCTTCAGTGTTAAGTAGCTTTGGTAGAGCAGAGTTTAGAGCAACAGAGTGGGGTGTTTCTTCATTTAAACAGGGACCACACTGCTCCTGAGCCCATGGGAACCCCAGGGCTTCTGTCAGCATTTCCTCTTTAAAATGGTGATAAGAAGGCCTGCATGTTTATCTGTTAAGCAAATATTGCAGTATTGCTAAGACAGTCCRTCTTTGGGAAGATATTTTTGGCAAATTGGTTCCCACTCTCCGATTCCTCTGTCACCAGAACCATTTTACAGGGGTTACACTTTGAATTACCACACTTGGAAAAATAAGACCATGTTACATGTAAAGATTTAGAATGAGTTTGTGTCTGTCTTATTTTCCCCTATAAAAGGAATGGATCAAATGCATTACATGTTCTGTTCAGTGGGAAGAACACTTGAGTATTTCTGCAAACAGAACAGATAGACTGATTAACACAGTTGGGTAGGGCTCAAAATTGGGTCCCAACGCTCCAGTTTTGGTAGTGTAAAATTGCATTTATCCTCCTCTACCCAAGGATTTCAAAGCAAGTGAATGTTTGCRGTGTCCTTGTGAAGCAGGATCATGCCACCAATTTACATGTGGGAAAAGTTAAGTAGTCAGTCTCATAACTTGTATAAGATTTCAAATATATCGTGGCAGAGCCAGAGTCCAGAAGCCCCAGCTCTGTCTGGTCCTTCAGTTACTAAACAATTACATCTCCGTTCACTTCATTTAAACRACCCTTAAAATCTTGCAGGTTTGAGAAACCTCCCCAGACCTCTCTTGGTGGCCGGTCCTTCAAGTTCGGGCAGTGCTGACACGGACGGGGGCCTCTTTGCCGTTCCCACGACTCTGCCACCCAACAGCCGCCACGGGAAGCTCTTCCTGCCCAGTAAAGAAGCAGAGCTGACCTTCCGGCAGCACTTGGACACAATCAGTGTAAGTGGGGCCAGGGGAGCCAGCGGCAGCGGCTGTGCCAGCTCCCAGGGGGACTGTCTTGTTCAGCAGGACCTTTATGAAGCCGCACGCCTGGTGAGGTTCAAGCGTGGCATTCTACCCAATGAGRCTGGTCGCGCTTTGATCACATAATTGTGACCCCAATCCTTCTGACCTGCAGGCTGTCATACTGCCTCATTAAACTCGTTTGCTCTGCTCCAGCAAAATACTTTTGACAAGTTTAAAACAACTGATATCCTTCTCATGCAACAAAATGTAATACGTCCTTGTTGCTGAGATTTTATTTTATTTTTATATATAAAATGTCAATAACAGTGTCACACCAGTTACATTTCTTAGGCAGTTGGATAGGTTCTTTGGGGAAAAGTTTTGTCTCAATAAAATTAAGAACAAGAAGTACTCGTTCCTGGTGGAAAACGTCCCCACCTTGACAGAAACTATGGGAGGTGAAGCTGAAGTTTTCATTTTTAGTTAAGGGAAATGTGTTTTGCATGTCCCACGAGGCATGGCTGTTACTAGACTATGACTTTGAGCAGCTTTCAGTTAGAAATAATACCCGTGTTGGTGTTGGAGCATCAAAATCAAGTGAGACATATTTAATCAAAAGGTAGTTTTGGAAAAGGTAATTTACAGTCTAAAACAAAAGAAAGCATTTTGGTATATAGTTGCAACTTTGTTGGAGAATGGAGTTCGGGGAGTATCATTTGCCCTGTGCCTGTGTGTTTGAAATACTTCCCTAATGCATTTCCTGCTCTCCTGCAGATGCAGTCCGACTTCTTCTTGCCAAAGCCAAGGAAACTGCGGAACAGACACTTGCGGAAGCCATTGGTGGTTCAGGTCAGGAAAATCTGCAGTGTGGGGAATGCCTGGGCTGTGCACCCCAAATAGATACCAGCTAGTTCGTAATAACTTGGGCCTAACTGAATATCCATCTTAAATCTGCTGGAACAGTAAAACCGAGCATCTGACTAAAACAAATGTTTTATTCTGTATTTGAAGTAGCCATAATACGTTCTGTATGTGAGGAGTGTCAAAAACAGTAATCCAGTGCGTGAGGTAGCTTGCGGACAGGGGAGGCCCCTCACCTGAAAGCTTGTTCTGCTATTTGGCCTCTCTTGCTGCTGACACACGAGTGACATGTTCATCTGACCTGTCGCTGCTGCTGCAACAAGTAACGATGCAATTGCACTGCAGCGAGATCACCGGTGAGATACATATATTTTTTTTCTGCTTCTCACTCACCAATTGCTGTGAAAAATTGGGGTGGGAATAGGTGGTGTAGTGAAAGAAAACATTCTCTGAAGGAACATGAGATACTCTGAGGGAACACTGGATTTACAAAACAAACTAGGATTTCCAGCAGAGATTTAAGTAGGAGGCAGCTTGTTAGCTGTGTGTCAGGGGTGGGCACACACTAACCTCCCTTAGACTCCAGCGAACCCCGCAAAAGGGCAGATGCTGCTGTTAAAACGACAAACTTTCAGTAGGGATTTGCAACAAATGAAGAACATATATGAAATGAATTAAAAACAAAATAACAGAAACATCCTTGGGGAAAACAAGGTGGCCAAGTTCTAGCATACCCTTTGGTCCCCCGGTTCTAAGAATGGAGTCGATGGTTTGCTTACAAGTTGCATACAAAKTATTTTTGGTAATAAGATACTCTGCTCGGCAGAACATCATTTATTTTAAACTCTCAGGTACATGTTGTTGTCTCATTAATTCRTGTTTGCTTAATCACAGTGGAAAATGAATTTGCACAATCTAGATGCAATCCTTAAGTTTGATTGTGAACTTCGAAACCATAGAAGATCAGCTTTGCCCTCTGTTTTGCACTTAAATGTTCTGTCGTTTCATCTCTCATACAGAGAACGCTGCTCCCTAGGCCGTCTGGAAATCCATCCCAGCACGTCTGCTCCTTTTCTATCCTATCCAACTCATCCATAACAGGTGAGTCTGCATGTCTCCCATTGCTTGTGTGCTACCATGAGAGGGATTCGAAAGTGGCTAACACTGCGCAAGGAAAGATTTTTGAAAAGAGAAAAATAGCCTTTCAAAACCACAAAGCCATTTATCAGCTGGTTGAGTCATTTCCTACAGGATGATAGGCTTGTGCTCCTGGATAGGAAATCATGATTACAGTGGAGATATTTTTCTTCCACCGCTCACTCTTTCCTTATTTCAGTATTGTGGAATTCTCTGCAAGGAGACAACACTTTGGAAAAAAGTTAAGATAAGAATACCTTTCTATAGGGGGGTGTAAATAATGGTTTCTGTAGACTCTGTATTGAACCTTTTCTGGTATCTGAGATACTGTAGGTTAAATGTCATACGTTATAATCAGTACCRCCTAGTTGTCCTTCCTAATGATTCACTCTTAATCACAACGGTGTTACAAGTTATCTCTCATCTCAGCATTAATCTAAGAATCAACATTAGAGGTTAAAGTTTGTCTTCACTGAAAATAATGAAGGCAGCTGCAATAACACAGCGGAACCTGCATTTGCACCAGCTCACTGCTGCTTGAAGTTTATTTTCTTTCCACTGAACTGTGTTGTATTCTGCTTTAAAKATGTGAGATTTCATTTGCTTGAGAGTTATTTAATCCTCCGCCCTAGGGAGAGGTTCATTTCGGCCAATCCAGTCCTCACTGAATAAAGCCGCAGTTTCTCGTCCCATCGTGCCCAAGGTTCTTCCAACACAGGCTACCAACAACCTGTCCAGTAAGTTTTCCTTGAACACGATGAGAGTGGCAGTGTGTCCTGCTCTATAGGATGTTGCAGTGTTTCTTTTTCCTGGTTACAAATCGTGAGTGCCTTTCAAAATCAAAGAAAACAGTGCTATGTTACTGATACCATCCAAACTAGTGCCATGCACTTTTGGAGCAGGGCAGAAGAGTTCCAAACACTCAGCTGAAAGAAATGTTTTTCTTTCTAAACAAAAACCACTGACATAGCTGATCAGATAATTATCATTTTTGCCMTTTGCATTTGTTAGGTTTTGACTATCTGGCCAATTTTTAAAAAACTATCTTTGAAAAGATTCACAGCAGAGTAATCCTGCAAAGAAAAGACTTCTAATGTGTTTATCTTTCTATTTCACAAAAGGTGCTATTGACTTGGCAGCTAAAAGTGCCGGGATTATCCCTGGTAGCCCCTTGCCCGTCCTGGAGGCAGATGGTTTGTCAGGGGTGTCTCCGCTCTCGCCGGATGGAGTGACCGCGGTGGTCACAGGGCAGGAGTCCTCAGTGGCACATCAGAACGGAGGCTCCATCACCACCGTGGAGGTCAGTGACTCTTGAGCGTGTTTTTCTTCTTAAAGCAGTGAAGCATCTTGTTCTTTTGCCATGTMAAAAGCTGTATTATTAAGGACTCTTCTGGAAGCTTCCCCTGGGGTTTATTGTTAGACATGCGTATCATGACAAGCCCAATGTCTGTTGTGTAGCATGCGTTAAATGGTTGAGAGATTCAGTCATTGTTGCACACATTTCCATCCTGTAGAAGAGTTTTCAGCTGTGCAACGGTTAAGTTGGCTATCCAGAAATCTGGATTCAAAGCAGAAGAGTAGTTTTTTGAGGGATAGAGACTCAGCTGAGAATTTGGGGCCAATTTCTGGGCATGTAAATACATGGACTGTGGTATCTTTTTACTGTCCCTTTCATTGAAACCCAGGTACATGTTAATCTCTGTCATTATCTCACACTTATGTGAACTGTTTTGAAAGGCAGGATACGCAGTGCAAACAGTGCAGAAGTAGCTGCACTTGCTTCTTACATCCCTGAGTGTATTTGCAGCACCTCTTGTAAAACTGGGTCACTCACCCAACTTCTCCTGTGCTTGCAGGGCTCAGGCACTGGGTGTCGGGTCCCGTTCATCAACCTGCCCACGCGGCACGAGCAGCAGGAGGCAGTTCCTGATGGTTTCCAGGTAGAGTGTGTGTGAAATGGGGAGTGGTTTCCGAACACCAGTGAGACGCCCTTGATCCTACGTTATTAGTATTGCATTTGATGGAAATGAAAATCCCTAACATTTGATAAATTTTAAAGAAGGGGGGGAAAAAAAGCAAGCTGCTTACATTTATCTCTCTGCCATTTTGTAGAAGAGCGAAATGAAGCTGACAAGCTCTGACCTCTGGAGGAGGAGCAGGTCTTGATCCAGGAGAGAAATTTAGGATAGGCATGCTCTATATAGCAAAGCACTTACAAATACAACAAAGAAAGATTTCCGGAATTGGCTGTCCTGCTTGCTGAAGAGGAAATGCTAAGACTAAAAGCAGGCTTGTAGTGCCTGCATCCTCTTAAGTGAATCCCTCATCTTCACATTGAATCCAATACATCATAAATACTTAAGTGTAGTAGAGTGGAAGTTCTAAGAGTCTTGTCATCCTGTTCCCACCTCCCTTCTCCAGTGGGATCCTGACCTTGTCTTAACTACGTAGCCGCTTTTTTTTTTTTTTTTTTTTTTTTTTTTTTTTTTAAGGAAGCATTTTCTACCTCACCTGTGATAGGAATGTACAAAAAGAAAGTTAAAACTATTATGACAAAGAGCGTAGAAGTGAGGCAGATTTTATAGCACTTGTGTCGGGATGTTTTCTTAGGTGTTTATTTAAGGTGGAACAGTCTTAGGTTTTGTTCCTGCTGTCAGGAATGCTTTGCATGTACGACATGCATGAGATAAAATTTGAACAGAGTTGTATGTATGTATGAAGAGGAACTAGAACCTTGAAATTATTCCTTGAAATTAACAAATAAAAAGAGCTTGACTTTTTGGAAATCTAGCTGTTTAGAGACTTGAATCTTTTAAAATATTCATATTATTTAAGCGTTTGTAGGGTTCTTGTCTATATAAAGCCAAATGCAATCCTGAAGAATTAATAGCTATCTGGTAGATTCCTCAAAGAAAGACACATTAATTCATTTACTATATGTGAGTGCTTGCTTTCGTTATGTAGCTTAAAGTAAACATTATTTGGTATGCTACAAACTCATGTTTTTTTCCAATAATTTGGCAGGATATGGAATCAGGAATATTTGTCTATGCTTACAGATACTATTTCTGGAAATAATACAGTTTCCATTTAGTAGATATTTAAAACGTGGACCCAGTTTATCTTTTATGTCTAGATGAGAAGAAAAACACTTACAAGTGTTTTTGGATCTATGAAAAAAAAATGTTGAGAATATATTCTGCTGAATTTAGTCCTTTAAAAAAAAATCTGCTTTCAATCTGATGCTCCAAGTGCTAAGCTGTTGCTTTTCAGACATGTATCCCAGTTCTTTGTTTTTCGTAAATTCATGAATTATGTTTCTTGTACCAGGGCACATCGGTGCTTTCTCTGTCCGAACTAACCAAGGCTCCTCTCCAGAATGGTCTTTCCACCCCTCCACTTCCCTCATCAGAGCCTTCCAGTACCCGTCTCTCTCCTCCCAACGTCTCTGCACTCTTGGATATTTCTCTGCCTGGGCCGCCTGAAGATGTCCTTTCCCAAGGAGAGCCTGCCACTCAAATCAGTGATTCCATCATTGAAATAGCGATCAGCTCTGGTCAATACAGTAAGTCTGAACTTAGCTAAAGTCTTCCTATTGAGAATTTTAAATGACAGCAGAAACTAGGAAGTTCTTGGATATTTTTTTATATATCTATTGAAAAGGTAATTGTGTGAGTGATCTCTCTGTTCTGATGTATATGGCTTTACGGGGTTCTTTCTAACAAAAATAACTTGTGCGGTGTCCTGTAACTTTACCACATTGACTTAGTGACTCATTGGCTTACAGGTGAAGGTGTTTCTCTTTCTCCTGCAAAGCTGAATGGCAGCGACAGCTCCAAAAGTCTTCCATCACCGTCCAGCAGCCCTCAGCAGAACTGGATTGCCTCTCCCAGCCACGATCCCCAGTGGTACCCCAATGACTCCACAGACTCCTCTCTCAGCAGCCTGTTTTGTAAGTATCTGCATGCAGAGAACTGCAGCAAAAGAGCTCCTCCCTTTGCAAACAAAGGCAGTTTGTTCAAGTGAATCTTTTGAAAAATAGGACATTCAGCAGRATCTTTGTAAATTCTATTTCTGTGTTTCTTGCTTTTGTTGTGTGACAGCTTTGTCTTGAATGTATTTTCTTTCTTTTTTATAAGTCTTTTCCTTAAATTATCCTGTTGCTAGACTGGAGCAAGAGCCGATACCCTGGGGCAAATAACTCCTTGGCAGTCCTTTGTAGTCTGCTTGGAGCCTGACTCATGAGTTAGGCTGAGACGTTTTGGCTGTTCTGCCAAAGCGGAAAGATGCCCGTGGCTCTGCTCTGGGATCACAGGCTTCGCTCTGTGCTTGTGAGCATGATYTCAGAGAGATGAGATCACTGTGTTTGTCTGGGGGTTGTGTGAGTTAACACTTGATGGTGCCACTGACATGGGTTTCTCAGTGCTCTTAGCTGAAGGTGTTCTTGCTAGGAACACGTAACTTTGAGGACAGAGAAGAAAGAGATGGTTGCCGTCCGTTTTCTGATTCCGTGTCATCCTTGGCCTCTCAGTTGCAAATAGTGAATGAAGTAACTTACTGGGGTGCTTGTTCTTTACAGCAAGTTTCATCTCCCCTGAGAAGGGACGAAAAATGCTGCCCACTCCTGTTGGAAGTGCAAGCGGCACCTCCTTACTGGGGCCCAGCCTCCTGGATGGAAACTCCCGGGACTCCTTTGTGTCACGCTCTCTGGCAGACGTAGCAGAGGTACGTCAGCACGTCACGTTCAGCTGTGCTGCTTTTTCAGTGCAGTGCTCTGGCATGTTATTTATCGTACTGCCCTGTGAGGAGGAGCTGAGGGTGCTGGCTGCTGAGGGTTCTGGCCAGAGAGGAGAAGGCTGCAGGGGGTGGAGAGGGAGCCTCAKAGGTGGCCTCAAGGATATAAGGGGAAAAAAAAAAAAAGTTGGATATAAGGAAAAATTCCTACCTGGAAAGAGTGTTGAAGCATTGGAATAGCCTGGCCAGGTAAGTGGTGGAGTCACCGTCCCTGGCAGCGTTAATACGCGTGTAGATGAGGCACTTAGGGACATGATTTAGCAGGCAGGATGGTGATGAGTTTGTGGTTGGACTTGATGATCTTGAAGGTCTTTTCCAACCATGCTGATGCTATGATAGCAGCTTTCCAGTACCTGCAGGGAAGTCATCAGAAGGATGGAGCCAGGCCCTTCACACAGGTATTTGGTGGGAGGAAGAGGGGCAATGTGTGTAAGCTGAAACAAGGAAGGAAAAAGTCCTTCATTGTGAGCTTGGGTTAGACACCTCTTAATCTCCTTTGTAACCTTAAATTACCCTATAGTTTACACATAATTTAACATCAAGTTGCATGGTAACTCCATGGGGGCTGTGCCCTAGGAAAGGGAAAAGTCATTATTCCTCCTTTGCCCCTTGGACATTGGGAAGGAAGTTTTGCGGATGTCTTGCAACTTGAGGMTGGAGATCAACGCTGATGTGATGTGATGTGACCTTGGCAGCCTCAGCCTTCATGCCCAGCTCTGCTTGCCACATTGAATAGGAAGAGTGCTAACTTTTACGCTAAAACGCTAAAATTGTTGAACCTGGCAAGTAGTAGGTGTGTTAATTAAAGAAGTAGTAGGATAATCCTTTTGTGCAAATTTTATATGATACTGCAGCCCTTAAGCTAGCAAACTGCCTTGCAGGAAAATGGGGTAAGGCACCATCTTAGGCACTGCCAAGCAGCTGCAGTATTTTGCTGTTGCGGCCAATGTGGGTTTGTGTGGGAGTCGGCAGAGGAAGCAAGTCTCGTTTACAAATAGCTTTAACGAAGGGAGAGATTTGAAAGAGTTTTATTGTCCTGCAGAATCAAGTTTTCACAGAGTCACAGAATGGTTGAGGTTGGATAGTCTAACCCCCTACTCCAGCAGGGACACACAGAGCACAGGGCATCTGGTCGTATCCAGGCGGGTTTGGAAGAGCTCCAGAGAAGGAGACTCCGCACAGCCTGTTCCAAAGCTCTGTCACCCTCACAGGAAAGAAGTGCTTCCTCACATGGAGATGGAACTGCCTCTGTTTCGGCTTGTACCCATTATCCCTTGTCCTGTCACTGGCCAACACTGAGAAGATTTTAGCCTCATCCTCTTTACATCCTCTCTTCAGGTATTGGGACACGTTGATAAGAGTTGCAAACGCAGTTGTATACATGAGGCAGTTCCAAATTAAGGAATATTTGCAATAGTGATATGTGGATGAGGCCCATTCAGACTGTAGAGTCTTCAAAGAGGCTCCCATTAGCTCACGGATAGGAGCTCTTCTCAGTCAGCTAAAGCAACATGAATCTCCACTGATGTGTGGCTGCCCTTTCCTCTCACCTCTGTTCCAGGTGGTGGATTCCCAGCTGGCTTGCATGATGAATGAGAACAGCATAGACTACATTTCCCGTTTCAACGACCTTGCCCAGGAGCTGTCCATCCCCGAGCCACCCCGCAGGGAGGTCCTGTTCGATGGCAGTGCCAGCGGTGGCCCCCCCATCGGCGACCTCTCACAGTGAGCGCAGCAGAGCGGCTGCCCCATGGAGACACTGCGTGTGAGCTGGAGCTTGTGGTGCTGGAGCAGAGCCAGGGCAGGGTGTGGGGAAGCAGCAGATGGACCTTCCCTCCAAAAAAGCGGCATCGTCTTCAAGGGTCTGATAAGTACCTGCAAGTCCTGGGATGTGCAATACGCTGGGAGCCACGAAACAGGGAGTAGTGTGATAGGAAGTGGTGTCCCTCCAACAGCAGCGATGTGAGGGGGTGGGTTTTAGGGGACAGTGCTGGGCTTGTACTGTGCAATGGCCTAGGAAGAAGTGGCTCAAGCAAAAAGGGGTCTTGCCGGAACCTCCCCTACAGGGATTACTTATTGCTGAGCAGTCCAAGCACGATGATTCAGGATTCACACTGAAGTTGTGGAGGATGAGGGGCAGGGGCATAGAAGACATTTTTGGTCTAGAAATGCCCCGGTCGGCACTTGTTTGATGAATCAGTCAAAGTGAGGTTTTCTTGCACTCTCTCCTAAGGCGCTGTGGCTCTGCGATGCTCCATTTTTATGCACCGTTCTTTTTCTTTGGCAAGGTCTCATTCTTTGAACATTCCTACAGGGGCACGTACCTGCTCGCTTGGCCTGCGGGGAGCTCTGATTCACCCTACCCCCAGCTTGCCTGAAACCGGGGGGAGTTTCCTCCAGTTTGGAGCCCCACCTCACTTCACGATCCTCACTCTTCTGGCTGCACTCATCTTCCCCACCTTTAAGGGAGACTCATCATCACGTTTCACTGTTCTCCCACTGGTGAGGGAGTGTTTTTCTGCTTTCCCTGAGGGATGTGTGCTTTTTCTGTCAGGCAACACTGCAAAAGAGCTCTTACAGGAATCGCTAGGAGAGCTTGGTCGTAATTAGTCTTGGCTTTGCTGGAAACAACCTGTATATATTGCCATCTTTCTCCACAAAAATGTGAGATGCGGTATCTCCTGGGAGAGGAAATAGGAAAGACTGTTGTAATGTATAGATACAAATATTATTCTAACGCTAAAATTGTTGAAATCTGTCTTGTGTCATTAAAAAAAAAAAAAAGGAAAGGTGTCAAGTCCTAGGTTAATCCCCTCGTCCCTCCTAGTTTCCTCCTTGTGCCGCTAATTCCAGGTGCCCTGTTGTACCTCAGGGCATAATTTTTCATTATAGTCACTCCTGGGCACTAATGGATCTGGTAACCCTCTGGGAAATCCCTATGCATTTAGTGGTAGTGTTTTAATACCTAAAGATTCAGATCCTGATTTCTACGGGGTCAAAGGAGTCTAAAGTTACTTTCTTTATGGCTGGTTTTCTTTTGGTTCTGCCTTTGTATCTCAGGAGCCTTTTCCTATTTCCTTTCCTACCAGTCTTGAGAGAGGACACTTCTACTGTGCCCCTTTTCTAAGCACTTCTCTGCTTCTCCAGTAAGATGATGTCCCTCGGCTGTTTTAGGTAGCTCTGAACTTCGCCAAGGGGCTAGTCCTGTGTAAACCTCAACTTTCTATAAGAGCCGTTTGTTAATAAATACTCACAACTTCTCCATCTCTTAGGCTGTTATCAGGGGTTCATTTTCCCAACTTGCACTATACTCGGTGGATGTAGTTCTGCCTGCCTTTAGCTACTTTTACAAAGCGTTTGACTGGGAGTTTCCTGTAACTTTGCTCACAGTGCACTGACTGGACTCGCTCTTCTCCCAGTCACTTTACCCTGCTTGTGTAGATTGTTTTTTACCGCTATATAGCTTGCATTGCGCCCTCTCTCATTAAGAGAAAACGTGGTGTTTTTCTGATGTGTCTTTTCTGCAGCCCACAATTGATTGACTTCACTGTGCGGATAGTGGGATTTGGAAGACATTCCTGGGATTCGTTCTGTAGGGACCCCCTGCAATGGGGTTCTCCATTCACATGTAGGAATCAAGGCTAGCAAGAAACAGTCCATAGCAGAAAAAGGGAGAATTGTCATTCCTGTGGGTTAGCTTTCTGTTCCTGCTGCCTGTCACACGGGTCTTCAGTTCTTCTCTCGTTATTTCACTGTTATCCTTGCTGAGCCATGTWGCAGTTACCAGGAGATCATGTAAACCTAGAGTATAAGAACTTAAAGGCTGTTGTCAGGAGATGAGTATTAAGTGSATCGTTTTTATGGTTCGTGCCTGGTATGACAAGTCGGAAGTTTCAGGTTTTACTTAGAGCTGAGATCTCTTTTGSTTCAGCCTTTCCCAGAGTGATTCCTCTTGGTTTTGGCTTCAGCCCTTAGCAATGCTATTTATCCTGGCTACTGTTCCTCCCAAATCCTTCCAGCTTTCAGGACACAGAGAGAGGACTCTTGCTATAGCTGTGGCCATGGAGTACCGGACATGTAGGAGGAGATGTGATATACTCTAATCAAGTACTGTACAAAAATCTGAACTGGTTTTCTACAGAAAGATGAGGCTCCTGCTCTCCGGTGTGTTATCCACCACGACAAACACTCCCATCCTCTCTGCCCAGGCTGGCACCGGGATGCCTGTGCCGCTGCCTCGGAGGCTGCAGCGCCGCGGGGCCGGACACTTCACCCAAACCCGGGGCAGTTCCTGCCATCCGGGATGGGAGTGGGAGCTGACCGGCCGGCCCTGCCGCCGGGACTGGGGGTGCTGGAGAGGGGGTGTCGCTGAAGCGCCTGCTGCTAGTGGTGCCGCTGAGATCCGCACGTGTTGATATCCCGGAGCTTTGCAAGGGAACTCGCAGGAGGCTAATAGCAAAGCGGGAATGACCGCGGGTCTCGTTCAGCACTCAGACCTTTGTGATTAAAGCATGTTTAGAATCACTCTTAAAAGTTCTTATTATAAAACCGATTTTGAAAATGCGGTTTTTGTTACTTTCACCAAATTCTCTTAGCAGCCTCCTGTCTCTTGAGACTTGCAGCCTTCCTGTATTTGGCTTCTAATTTYAGAAACACAAAAGGCAAGCTGTACTTCAATAACAAAGTCTGTTCACTCTTATCAGGGAAAAATTGAAGACAACTTAAATCATTGTGAAAATTTTGAGTTGATGCAGTGTTTGTTATCCTTATTATGTGAAAAGTCACTGCAGTGCCCTTCTGCAGCCACCAGTTGCAGAAGGCAGGTGGCTGTGCTTTACTTGCCGATCATCATCTGTGTAGCTAAGACTGACAAGCGATAAATTAATATCTTGGGTTTTTTTTGGTATTGCTTTTTAATAAAAGTCCAAAACTTTAAAAATAATAATTTCAGTTTCCCCAGCTGAAATAACAAGATCCACTGCCTGTAATCACATCAATTTATCCCAAGCAGATACCTGCCAAGCATGTTGATGCTGAAATGAAGGCAGGATGATTTTTAAGGAAAATAAAACTTTATCATTCAGAGCTGCCCAAGGCACTGAAAACCAATTGGAGGGGTCAAATGGACACYAACAACCTGGTCTGCACTTGTGGTGTTCATTGCTGTAAGGCTTTCTGCTGGGTTTGCTTTTAATCCTCTGGTAGGCTTGCCCCGTGCTGGTTTAGCAGCCCTATGTGTGATAAGGAAGTTCCCTGTGGCGAAAGGCAGAGGAGTCGGTCATCGTGGGGTGGGTGAAAAGCGGCACCCCGTGCCACGGGCTGGCTCTGCCGCTGTGTTTGCGTGCGCTGCGCTGGCTGTCTGCTGGGCGTTGCATCCCCATGAAGCGCACAGTTCGTTTCATCCCTTATCGCTAAAWCTGCTAAGCATAGGAATATTAATTGTTTTTAATGTGGCATCGGTTCGCCTTTTCTTGACACCCTTCTTTGTATTTCTAAATTCAGTTAAATAGCTTGCATCAAATCTAACCTATAAAGAACTTCATCTACTGACTCCATGGATCCCAGAGCAGAAATTTAAGTTGCATTTTATTTTGTACACTCAGACTTCGGATGCATTTATAAGGAAAGTACTGCACTTTTTTTAACCTTTTCAAACCTTTGAATCTCTTAATTTCACAGCAATTTGTAAATGTTAACTAAGTGAAACCTTGGCAAGCACTACGGCAATAAGTTATCATTAATTACTGAAACATGATAACTGCTTTAGAGCTTATGGTTCTGGCAGCAAAGTTTAATGCTGTTTCTTTTAATAATAGTTAAGCCATATCATCTGAGGTTTCTGGCTTGTTTGAGATGTGAATTTGTTTTATAGATTATAAATATACCTATATAGTGTATGTATAAAGCAGAATGCCTGTCCTTACTGATTATTTTTTGTACCATATTGTAAATTATATTATTTATTCTTTACCAATTTTGGAAAAAGGTGTTTTGGTTATTTAATATAATATACAAAAGCTGTTAACTTCCTCTGTTTAAATTTCCAATTCAACTTGTAAAGCTGTTTTTATTCTTGTGCATAAATACATACTAATACTTGGTCTAACTTATGTCCCGTGTMTTATTTGCAGTTCCTGCCATGTCACATTTTCCATTTAACTTTCTATTTGCGTAGCTATGGCCTCAGGAGGATCAGCATTTGTGCTTACTTAAGATGGAACTTTTTGAGGTGAAATTCTGGTTTCAGTGAGCTTGGTGGCACGATTGCTATCAACAGAATCRTCACAGAATTTTCATTGTTCTCCGTGGTGAGAGCTTTTTTGTTTTATTTTGACTTGCACGTATACCTTACACCTTCCCCCCCCCCCCAGCAGTGTCCCCAGCTCTAAGTAAATATTTAGTTGTGAGGACAAGCATCATTGATCTCAGACTGCAGATGTATCTAGATGGAAACCTTAAAGTGAACACAGAATTAAGTAAAGATCTGAATTCACAGTGAGCTAGTTAAGCCATGCAAAAGCCCTCATTTGGACCCCTGCACAGTGACTTTACCATACTGTGATATTTCTTTGGCAATAAACCGTATCAAAGCAAATGTATTTTCATTCTGAAGGGGAGTATCCCTCCTCGGGTGGGATTGCTCCCATTTAAATGCCCAGGAACTTCCCCCTGGGCGTCCGCCTCGTTGTCTCTTCGCGGAGCTTCGCTCCTAACGGGCGCGCGGCGGGCGGCGCCGCCGCTCCCCTCACACCGGGCCCCCAGCGCCAACGGCCCCACCTCCCGCCCCTCCTACCCGAGCTCTCAGCCAATGGCCCTGCAGCTCCCCCCTAATGGACAGGCCACCCTCCCAATGGGAAGGCGACCAGTTGAGTGGAAGGGAAGTCGGGCAGGGCGGGACCCGAGGTGGTGCATGCCGTCCATAGGCTGTCCGGCGTGACGGGCGTGCGGTTCAGCCAATGGGGGGGGCGGGGCGGGCGCTCCCTGCGGTCGGGGCGGCTGAGGGGAGCGCCGCGCGGGCTGCGCAGCCGAGCCGAGCCCGCCGCCAGCACCATGTTCCAGGGCGCCGAGAGCGACGCGGCCAAGCCGAGCTCCAGGTGCCGCGGCGCGGCGGGGCGCGCGGGAGCCGCGGCGCTTTGTGCGGGGCC